ACTTTAATAAGAGTGGAAAGAATTTGATTATGGAGAAAATTAGCATATGTAGATATATACACAGACTGTGGGGTCCAAAGCAGAACAAATTAATACTATTTTGATACTGAGAAATGGCTTATATTTTTATTAAATGTGTCTTTCTATGTCTAATGCATGTATTTTTTAAAGACAAGAGTAAATTTATATATGTTCAAATGCTATTTGTTTGCTCTCATGGTAATCCAGAACACAATTATTACTGCAGACATTATCAATATGAAAAAGCCTGTAGTTATTATTTAGGGAGGAGATATGTTGCTGTACACTACACACACATAGATACTCTGAGATTCTTTTCATAGAGGCAGAGGTATAGATGATCTAATCTGATCACTGATGGTACTAACAACAAAAAGCATATAAATACAGATATGGTTAAAATAGGCTGGTGTGAAATAAAAAAAAATTTTGTAGAAGATAGCAATTTCAAAAAAGTACAAAGGGTAATTTTAGGAGACATGACAAGATAAATAAAAACAGATGTTGTCTGATCTCTAAGAAAGAATTAATATTTTTACATCATTTTTTTTAAAGACAGAGAGAGAGAATTTTTTTTTTAGTATTTATTTTTTAGTTCTTGGCAGAAACAACATCTTTGTATGTGGTGCTGAAGATCGAACCCGGGCCAAATGCATGCCAGGTGAGTGCGCTACCGCTTGAGCCACATCCCCAGCCCAACATCATTAAATTTTATACCCCTAGTGAACACATACAATTACAGAAATACACATGTTACACCAATGGAGACAATTTAAGAGAATTGTAGCACACCCATATATCCAGTGAAATATAGTTTATTTCACAATATGTTTTTTTACAGAAAAATCAAGAGTCCAATTTGATCACATTTACAAAGTGTTTTAATGATATTATCAAAGGAAAAATATTTCTCCAAACTATCATTCAATCTAAGAGGTAATGATGAATTAAAACAGTCATGCTGATTCCATTCAATTATCTCAGTTAGTTTGGCATAGATTTGGTATTGTTGAAGACATTCAAACATTCCTCATATGAAGAAACTTGGAATTGATTCTAGTGAGACAGGAGGTTAGAGCCAATTGGCTCAGTAGCTGAGGAAATATCTCAGTAGAAGCCATAAGACCAGCATCTTCTGTAGCAGAGTGGGCGGCAACATCCATAACCATAGCCACCATAGCCACCATAGCCACCATACCCACAGCCATAGCCACAGCCATAGCCACCATAGCCACAGCCTAGGCCACCATAGCCATAGCCCAGCCGACCATAGTAGTTGCCATAGTAGCAGCTCATGCTGTCAGGAGTGGAAAGTTAAGTGCAGGATAAGGACGTAGGTGTCTTGAGTCTAGATGTCACTGTCTGCCACCTACCATTTATATACCATGGGTGCTGGGTGGAGAAAACCACAGGAAGGGCATAGTCATATTATCTCACTATTGTGCTTCAAACAACGTCATGTGTATCTTTACTTATTGCAAAAACAAGCCTCATAACTGAGATAATTTTGCTCTTACGTAAGGTATCCATGATTCATTTATTTATTTAAGTGAAATTCTTGTTCTATTTTGAATGCAATGTCTCTTTTATATTTAATTAATAGAATATGTATGATTTGATTACATGATGCAAATAATAAAAACAAGTATTTCAGTTTTATTTTGTTTTGTGTTGTTGCCATGTTTCAATAGAAGGAAAGCTTTTTTCCCTTCCTTCCTTCTTTCTTTCTCTCTCCATTTCTTTCTTTCTTTTCTATTCTTCTCTTCTTGTGAAATTAATCTTGACATACATTTCAAACATTCCAAAAAATAAATAACCATTTGACAGTTGGAAATTATATTTGTTCAATTTTCCTCTTCCGTTTACCAAATAAAGTTTATAGCTGCAAGTGTAAATTACCCCAAGATAAAGTTGGGTCCCCAATCTTTGACTCTTATTTGGGATGGGGAACTGAGTAAAGAAATGAGGAGTGCTTAGCCACAAAGCCACATCCCTAGCCATTTTTATTTTTTACTTTGTGACAGGGTCTTTCCATGTTGCTTAGGGCCTCTCTAAGATGCTGCAACTGGCTTTGAACTTGGGATCCCCCTACCACAGACTCTTGAGCCCCAGGGATTGCAGACCTGTGCGAATGTGCAAGGCTTTAATTTTTTAATAGCTGTCACATTTGCTCTTACAAGTATCTTGGAGATGAAAGAATGACATGGCACTTAAAATGTGTATGGATAGGTCAGAGGGCCAAAATAATCCATGGAATCCTTCTTTGTTTCCTCAGTTTTTCCTGATGATGAGTATTGGTAGAAACAGGTTACTCAATCATAGAATGATGTTTTTTTATAGAAATATTCAATACAATTTATTAAAAATAATTTTCATATAATAAATTATACCTACTATAACAGTACAACTCTATGAGTTAGAGTCCAAAATAAATCTAAATTATGTTCCACCCCTCAAAATGTAGACATTGGAAGAATTGGTCAGGAAGGAGGAACGTCTACTCCTGTTTTACAGTTGTTGAACCAGAATGTCCTCTGATGTCTCAAGTCCTGTCAGTTTTGCTCATTGATGTCACCAAACACTGAGAGTAATCATAGATGCATTGTCATGACAAAAACCTGCCTTTCCACGTGCTTCTCATTCAGTTGAGACTTCTCAGGGAGTTTCACATAGTTCTGCCAGCCTCTTTCAGCTGCCAATTGACATTCATTTGTCATAGAACATGTGCCAATAACTTTTAAGTCATTGTATTGTATGTTGTATAAGAAAAGAAAAGCAGTTTTTTTTTCTTTTGAAATTAGACAATAAATATGTTTTTGAGCAGATTTAATACATTTAGTATTAGGGAAATTATATTACCTTTGTGAGGCTGAATTTGTTAATGATTTACCATGTCATTCATTTGCTTCTTTTAAAAGTAAACTTGTATATTAATTTGATTCTAGATTCATTTCCCCAATTTAATTACAAATTCTGATATGTGGATGATGTCATCTTTTGCCTGCTTTGCATATTTCCAAGGGAGTCCATAAATTCAACCTTGTCTATTCAAATCCTAGAAAGTTCAGAACAATATTATCTTTCACTGTGGAGACTAGTGCTGTTGGTGCTGCTAGTGGACTATTAGAAAATATCTGACTAACCCAATTCAAATGAGAATTAATGCAAAATTAGGCTCTGAATTTTGGTCAGGGTCTATTTACCTCTCTTGGTCTAGTCTGTAGTAGATGCTTGTTTGTCTTTTCTGTTAAGGATAGTTCTTAATTGTGATGATTTTCTCATCACCTAGACAGGAGCACAGCTGTATTATATTTTTTATCTCTTTTGAAATGATTCTGTTTGTGTCTTAGGAAATGGACCCCTGTGACTTTCAATTTCTAAAATATCTCCAGGAGAAACCTGGCTCTGTTAAAGTCAGTACTCTCCAAGCACATTCTTGTCAGATTGTGTCTTTGTGTATCTCCGACTAGGGTTTGCCAGCCACAAAAAATTAAAAGTGGACTCAAAACTCTGCTGGTTACTCTGTGTCACAGCATCATCCTGCCTGGCTCCTACAACGGCCAGTTTCACCCCTTCACCCATTTTCTCCTTCGTCAGAATATTCTCCTCTTATTCCTTATTTCTCTCACTAGCATTTCCTTGCACTTACTGCTCTCAGTTTGTTTTCCAAGTGAAACATAACCAATTTAAGAGTACAAAGAATTTGAATATAGGGAAAATTAGCCTATGTAGGCTTGTACATTTAATGAGGACTAGAGTTTGGGATGAAAAAGAAAATAACCTCCTGCTAATTTGATACTTAAAACGTGACTCATGGTTTTGATAAGTTTATCTTGTTATGAATAGAACCTAATTTTTTAAAATAGAAAGTAAATTCATAAATTTTGAAATACTATTTAGTTGCCATGATGACAATCAATAATGTGATTTCAATGCACACATTTTCAATAGCATAAAGTCTGAGTCAATTTGAGCGGAGAAGATAAAGGTACACATACATATATAGATATTGATACAGATACATATATAGATATCACTATTGATATAGATACATATAGATGGGTACACATACATGTATGTGTATATATATATATATATATATATATATATATACATATACATATCTATATATATAGACCTACATATAGATAGATAGATAGATAGATAGATATAGATATACACTTTTATTCACCACTGTAAAAAGTGCAAACAATTACTTTGAAACACTTTCACAGAGGCTGAGCTATAGATGATATAATGTAACCACTGGCAAGACAAACAACACAAAACTTTAAAAGAAAGATTTTAAAATGATCTCATGTAATATACTCACATTATTGTATCTAAAAAACCCTTCTAAAAAACTTACAAGGGGTGATTTTAGA